TTCGTAGCACGAAAAGAAAGATCGTGTAAAAAATCGTGATATGATCTATGTAAATGTGAGACTATTGTGTCTTTCGGATGATGCATATTTAGTGATGTCGGTGAATGTATAAATGATAACGTACGGAACAAAGTGATATTTTCACAATGTCCTACTTGTAGGTTAAAGTTTACGAAAGCGCGATATATAGAGAGAATCATTCGATTCGTATTGAAAATATTACCGAACAGAGTTACGTGAATTTCAACGTCTAATGGCGACTATCTCGCTTTTCATTTCTCTTTAATAGCTTCGCTCTTTTACCGTACTTTTCGGAATAAACACTCTCAACAAGAGCATCATTACAGCGTTCTAAGGGCAATGTAGATTCATTATTCGAACAGTTCGTTAAGAGATTGAAGTTCGCTAACGCATCAGTCATTTATGGATGGATGTTGTTAACAAAAAGTGATTGAAAAAGAAAAGGACATCTACAATTACGCGCGTATTATGAGGATGACGCACATAGTTTTTACTACTTCATACTAGTCAATCATGCGATTAACATTTTAAATCAAAGGTTATGTAGTTTTCAGCCCGTTGCGATTTCATAAGTTTGAATATATCATTTTGTAAGAAGCTCGTGATTCAGCATCCAAAGATTACATTCGATCACGCGCGAACAATACGATCAGAATCGTGAGGACCTTGTACTTCGTGTACCTGTACTCGTCGTTTCATAATAAGAGATCATTGATTTCGATTAGAGTGGTTCGAGGCAAAATGAGAGATTACTTGTTTTGATAAATATGCTGATGAAAGCATCTGTATTATTGAATAATATTACGTTACCGTGTGTCCTTGAGAAATACGAATGTACAGAACCAGCATCCTCTTTCGTTCTTTTCAAAAAGAAGTAGATATCGATATTACGAGAATATCCGCGAACTCCTCGAATTACTTTCGGTCAACAAGATCGGTGTTTTTAAAGTGCCATAAATACGCACGCAATTAACCAGCATTCGTTAATTATTCCCACGCGCCTTGATTATTTGACAACTTTTCTATGTTTTGTAATAACGCAGCTCGCTTACGGCGGTGCGATGCAAATACCGCGTTTGGACGTTCATTATTATTTGGCGGCGATATTATGGGAAGCGATTCATTCGCGCGCACGATGGTCCAGAAAGACACAACAAGTTTAAATCCTCTGGTGGAGCGGCATGCCGACAAATTGCCGCCGCGCACACGCTCGCAGCAACCACCGCAAATGCCACCATCACCATTACTACTACATCCACCACCCACTAAACAACCAACGAGCGCCGGTCAATAAATTCCCACATCGTCTCTCGGCTTTCGCGCCCGTCACCGCGACGTTCGTCAAGTTAATATGAGGGAAACAACGAAGGGGGCGGACCTGCGACGGGAGAATTCAACACGGATAGCCAGCACAAACGTGCGTACGAGCGAGCGAACAAACGGACGAATGAACGAACGAGTAAACGTACGGACGGGCAAGCACGCATAATAATATCGATCGCGCGCGACTACCGTTATTCCTCCTATAATACTCTTACTACTAACACGAAATTTTTGACGTTGCGGGGCCGCAACGAGAGGGTGGGCACGAGTAAGGCTGAGTTCAATAACACGGTGAAGCAATAGACGAAGAACTTGAAGTGGTAGCGAAACGTGCGACTGGTCTCATACAGAAACGGCAACACGAGGATACAGCAGACGAGAATCACCTCGAAGTAAGAGGCCATCTTCCTCCGAGAAGATAGACACGTTGTTTCGAGCAAATTTACACACTTTCTTCCCCTCTTCTGTTATCTCTTTTCTGCTCGTCGTTTCTTTCTTTCTCTCGTTCGTCCTCTCTCTCTCTCTCTCTCTCTCTCTCTCTCTTTCTTTCTTTCTCTCTCTGCCACAAACAGCTTCCTTAGCTTTCTTACGGCGATATCATTCGGCAGATGGACACTCCCTGTGGTCGTTCAACTCGGCTTTTTTCTTTCGTTGCTGACGTTCGGGAAACGTTACGGAACGGCGTTGTCAGCAGGTTCGTGTCTCTTCAAGCTTTTTCGGATATGCACCACACAACACAAAGCAATGCAACGCTACTGCGCAGGCGGACACTACCGTTGACGGCGGGCGGCAACGCGCTTTAAGAGGGAAACCTCCTTATCGGGTCAAAAAAATCGATATTTTGGAAATAGTCTTAATCGATTGTTAAACTATTCAAGAATATTCCCTGAAAATTTAAAGTCGATATCTGCAATATTTACGAAGTTACGAAGTTAAAGCGGACGGGTCGGGTGACGAGTTCAGACGGGCCTAGCGACCCTCGGGCGGTCGCGTTTATACCTGCGTTCTCGGAGCGTGTTTATACCTGCGTTCGAAAAGTCCGTTTGTAGAAATTTTATCTGTCTTCCCTTTCAAACTTGTTTTGACCTACGATCAGTTCGCTTTCGTCTCTTGTCGAGTGAATACGTTGCTAAATGCAGCATGACTTCGTATCCGAAAGCGACACACGGGCAGTCCAGACGTTCAACGAAGCCTCGAAAAAGGAAATCTCCGTGGAGTAAAGATGAAGAAAAAGAAGCCGAAGAAGAGGAAATTAGTAATACGAGTGCTTCGAGTACAAAACTAAGCGGTGCTAATGTTTTTGACGCAAAAGTGAATAGGGCTCATGCGTATAAAATTATAGATTTTTTAAGCGTTTTTTAAACGCTCGCGCAACTGCTTATATGTCGAAAGTGCTAGAAAAATGTCGAATTTAGAGAATCGGGAATTCGTGGTTTCGGTTTTAAGATAGTTGTGTTGTGTTCTTGTGGCTCTACACAGATTGATTCTGGACCTCTTATAAATACCGGTTATGAAATTAACAGAAGAATAGTTTTTGTTATGAGACTTTTAGGCCTCGGACAAGAAGGCATTAATATTTTTGCTGGACTTATGGATCTCGGTACAGGTTTGAGTAACAGTACGTACGAGAAAATTGTGAAACACCTGTATGATGCAGTAAAGTTTGTCTTTGATGCTACATGTCTGAAAGCAGTTGATGAAGAAAAAAAATTAAATGAAGAAAATGGAAGAAGAAAATCAAAATTTTATGTGTCTGGGGATGGATTGTGGAAGAAAAGAGGTTTTACGTCGCTGTTAGGTGTTGTAACTCTAATTGGTATTTTAACCGGAAAAGTAATCGATCTTGTTATTAAAAGTTCAATATGTAAGGGTTGCACATCATAGAAATTAAAAGAAGGTACTGATGAATATACTGAGTGGTACGAAAAACACGAAGATGAATGCCTACTAAATCATTCCAGTTCATCAGGGAAAATGGAAGTCGATTCCATGAAAGAAATGTTTTCCAGATCAGAAGAAAAGTATGGCGTTCAGTATGTGAATTATATAGGCGATGGCGACTCAAAAATCTTCAAAGCCATCTTAGACTTGAATCCATACGGCAATGACTCTCCTGTTAAAAAAAGTGAATGCGTTGGGCATGTCGAGAAACGAATGGGCACAAGACTTCGAAATGTAAAAAAAGATAAGAAGCTCGGAGGACGTGGAATGTTGACCGATGTACTGATAAAAAAAATAACTCGATACTATGGATTAGCCACACGTCGAAATACTGATTCGGTCCAGGGCATGAAAAAAGCCATTCAAGCAACACTCGATCATCTAACATCTACCGACGAGACACCGAAACACGGAAATTGTCCGGCTGGAACTGATAGCTGGTGTAAGTGGCGCAAGGCTGAGGCAGCAGGTTGTGCAGCGTCATTTAAACATCCCCCTCCTCTTCACCCAAATGTTGAGAAACATTTGCAACCGATCTTCGACGATCTTTCGAATGACAGTCTTTTGGAAAGGTGTTTAGGCGGTTACACACAGAATGCAAATGAAAGTTTCAATTCTACCGTTTGGCGTTTATCGCCTAAACACATTCACAGTGGAGCAAAAATCGTCCGTATTGCTGCGTATATTGCTGCATCGATATTTAACGAAGGCTACAATGCGGTGTTAATGATAATGAACAAATTGGATATCGAAATTGGGATCCTGGCACACAATTTTGCCATAACAAAGGACGAGAAGCGAATAAACAGACAGAACCGCCGAAGCTATAGCAGCTCAAAAGAGGCAAGAACGGCTCGTAGGATGGAGATGATGGCTCAAAACGAGTTCTACGAGGAAGCGGATGGGCTACTTTATGCAGCTGTAATCGCTGATTAGCGTGAGACTGCCGTAATATGAATGTGTAGTATTTTAGAATGTGTTTTAGAAGATTTTAGAAGTTTTTTTAGAAGATTCTAAAAAATGGAAATGGACAATGATGTTGATGTGGACAATGATGTTGAAGTGGACAATGATTTTGAAGCAATAATGGATTCATCCGATTCATCCGATGATGGCCATATTCTTACAGACGATAGTGATGTTCTCAGTGACTGTAGTGATGACTTTATGGAAAACGAGGTTAAAGCGATGTGTAATGCGGAAATCAATGCGCTGAGTGGACAAACAAAAATGTGTTGCATCTATTTTTTCTACACTACAGGAGGCGGTGCAGCGTTCTGTGCTTCATGTATGTTGCGACTGACAGACTTATACACACATGTATGCCGTTCGAAAGCATCTGACTAAAAGACACGATGCGATAAACGGAAAATTTTGTGCGAATTGCAATGGATCACTCTTTCAAATACTTCCGTGCAATTTGTGTTCTGTATGCATACAAGCTTATACACACACATGTGAAGACTATTTGCTTTAATCGGCTATAAAAACCTGAGAGATAATTTTGACAGTGTTTTAATGAAAAAAAATAGAAGAAGTCGTGCGAACTGAATGTGAACTGTGGGATCAATCCGCTCGATTGAGTTCGCGAAACGAATACAACGTGTGGGAGGAACGGTGTGATGAATGCCTCGAGTCGTTGGAAGGACATAGTCGAGCGAAACGACCGAGATTATCGATCGGTGTTCAACAATCGTTGATCGCTCGCATTGCGCGACTCGAAGGACTAAAACATTCATTGCGTACGCGTTTTGTACATACTGGCGCCGGATATTCAAACGCAGGACTCTTATGGCGTGAAATAGACACTGCTTTCAATAGCCGCGTATTAACTGGTGCAGTTATAAATGTAAATTTTATCGAACCTCTCCGATTTCTTCAGCGTGCGAAGGACATAGTGCTTGAACATGTGCAAAACGCTAGGGAGAGACACGCAAGTGTGAAAGTGAACACCGCATTTAACGGTGAGTTTGTCACGGGTGATAAACGTCGAACAAAAATATTACCACAAAAAACTTTGAACTCTTCCGCGCATCCGATCTCG